ATATCAAGGAAAGTAATAAATAGAAAAAGTGACATAATTATCTGAAAGAAAGAGTACGAAAAGAATTTTTAATCATTATATTTACGCTCTCTTTTTTTCCTTGTTTTTTTTTTTCAATTCGCGTCAAACCTAAAGCAACCACTTTAAAAGATACGAGTAGTATCGACCCATCAATTGATGTACACGACATCATGAGAAAAATGACCGAGGTGAGTTTTTTTTCTTTTGTAAAATTTCTGCCAAACAAAGATGTCATTATAGAAAAGTGAGAACCTAAGATCAGTTTGTATGTATGGTTCTTCATTTTCTTGCGATATATTTTTTAACGTAGAACTCTAAAGGGTGCTCAGAAGTGACAATGTAAAGATTGCGATTTCAGATGAAACGGCAACTGCACACCAGCGAAAGACTGACACGAAATTTTCGTAACAACATTTGTTGCTGAGTTTTCCAGAGGAGGAAAAAACGAAAATAAGCAAGCAAAATATGAGTAGATATCCACAACGACACATTGATGTAGGTCCTTGGAGGATATACTTCTCTCAGATGTAGTCTATCAGTCCATGTAAGTCTTAAGAGTAGGTTTCTGAGAAATTCAGACATCGATGATGGAATGATATCTCAGAATTCGCTGATTTCTTTTTATATGTTATAGATGGTAGTGAGTTTAGTATTCTCTGAAATTTTCAGCTCGATCTGATAACTTTTTCCTGTATAAACAGTCGAAATACTAACGAAATTTTTAGTATAAATTTTTTATTATCTTTTAATTAATTTTCAGCTGATTTTATTCAGTAAAAGTGACTTTCTTATTTCAAATTTTGAGACTTTTGACTTTTCGTTTTTCTAACTATTACTATCGAGGTATTGTTCTTCTGCAAACAAAATTTCAGAAGTTTTCGTCAATCCTATAAGAACTTCTGAAATACCATTAAAAAAGCCTTCATTTTGAAAAGATATTTTTATGGGAGGTAATACAGGATCGTATGCTGATTTTTACTAGGTAGAATTTATCTCATATGATGAGACCCTTCGAGTAATTTCTAAGGGACATCGGTTACATTTCCTATAGAAAGGGCTCATTTTTCGATATTTTGCACTAAGTCTCCTAGGACCATTGCTTGAGATCCCACGCCAATTTTTTTATAGGGTTGTAGACCAAAGAGAGGACTTTCAACTTCTATAGGCCAGCTCTCATACTGTCCCATGTCTTGGTAGATAGCATTTCCTAAAAATCCCGATTTTCGTCTGAAACCCATTTTTGAGAGGATTCTCCTGACCAAATGGAACAATGTACAGAGCTGAAATTTTTCAGAAAAGATACATCTCTAAGTACTCTATCTATAGTAAAAATTTCAGATCTCTATCTCATTCCAATCAAAAGTTATGAAGTACCAAAGTTGTCAAAAATGACGATTTTTGCATATATTGAGTGGTTCATAAAATCCAAACAGCTCAATACTTTGAGATAAAAATTTTATGATGAATAGGACCCATCGACATATATGTTCACAGAAAATTTCAGCTCAATCAGTTGAGCCTTTCTTGAGATATGGCTCCATCAGGACCCCCATTGGTTGAACTGATCATTTTGAGGACTTTGTCGTAAAACGCCCATAAAAAATCGAGGGTTAAATATTTTTTAAAACGACTTGCGTCAAAATTGTTAAAATTCTTCCCTCTACAATATTTCTTAAATTGAGCAAAATCTGACGACCTCGATTGAGCAAGTTCGGTCGTGGCTTATATGGACTGGCACATATAACGTGAATGGGAGAAAAAAACTATCTTTTAATCAAAAGTGCTTTACTTTTCTCAAGGGACAAAATTGTGAGATATCCTAGGTGGTAGACCTTGATGAGCTCTATCACCGGTAGAAATAACACAGCGATTGGTTGTTGGGGCATAAAATGCGATTGAGAGACATTTTGGTAAAGAAACATAGAAAAAGAGTAAGAAAGGCATTTTTAATGGTATTTCAGAAGTTCTTACACGATTGACGAAAACTTCTGAAATTTTGTATGCAGAAGAACAATACCTCGATAGTAATAATCAGAAAAACGAAAAGACAAAAGTCTCAAAATTTGAAATGAGAAAGTCACTTTTACTGAATAAAACCAGCTGAAAATTAATTAAAAGATAATAAAAAATTTATACTAAAAATTTCGTTAGTATTTCGACGGTTTGTACAGGAAAAAGTTATCAGATCGAGCTGAAAATTCCACAGAATACTAAACTCACTACCATCTATAACATATAAAAAAAATCAGCGAATTCTAAGATATCACTGCATCGTCAATGTCCTAAAGTGACTGATTTTCTCAGAAACTTACTCTTAAATACTTGGATGTTTTAATCAATTTGAGTTTTTCTTCGTTCATTGTTATATTCACTACTGATGTTTTTAATTGAGTGTGAAGCAACTATATCATTACTTTCGATATATTTATCGGATGTTTTCAATTTTTTTTGAATATGCACACACTTGTTCGTGAGTTCACATACCTACGTTCTCTGAATATTGAATTATTGGAGCTACGTGATTCAAAATAAGTAGTCTTATAAGTACACTAAGATCATCTGCGAAGAGGTTACTCCAATAAATATCCAGACAGTTTATTAGATCACAGTGGAGAGCAATAAGCAGATGTCAGCTAAGACCTTTTCTTTACGAAAGTTCTATATTTATATCAAAGACTTTCGATGTTTCTCACCAAACACTAAGCAGCAAAAAGTATTATACATAATATGTCATGTTAATTTTAGCAATCGTAGAAATGTGGGAAAATTGACAAGAAGTTCTTAGTTCTTACTTCTTGAAGACTGTTCACAAGAGTTATCATGACATTAGTTTAGGTTTTTTTCGTTGAATTTATTAGAAATGCATGATTGATTTCGTGTTTCTTATGTATATGCAACAGAAGAGACGAAATTTTTTTTATTAGAAAGACCGAAAACTAAATAAAAATTAAATCGGGAAGAACTGCACGTCTTAAAGTTGTTATAAACACAGCTCGAAAATAAAAAATTTAAACAAATTCGAGGAATTCAAGATACAAGTGTAACTAACGAGAGAAGTCTGCAACTGTCTCATCACTTTTGAATCGATTCTATGTGCATCATATGAGTCATAATCAGCTACGAATATCTGTACTGTCAAAAATATCATGCCTATTGAGTTTCAAATTTCAACTTGGAATATGCCACTGAAACAAGCTTCAACGAGAATAATTTATTGTAAAAGTTTCCATATCTTTCTTTTATTTCTAGTTTGAAATAAGTATAGCGATACCTAGTGTTGTATTTTAGCGATGAAAAGAAGTGCAACTATCAGAATCGTATCTTAGAAAAGAAATTACCAAAAGATCTGAAACTTTCAGAATGAACTATTCTTATCGAAAGCTATTTCTGTACAAATTTCGAATCGAAATTCTAAACTCAGGTTTCCTCATGTATCTAAAGGACAACATAGCATGAGACTTCAAAAACGTGATAAAAAAGTTGAGTCTCGATAGAATTGTGCTAGCAGCCCGAAAGCTGTTCAAGATATTCATAGCTAATTGAGACCTACATGATGCATATAGGATCGATTGTAAGACTTCTCTCACAAGATATCTATACACTTGAATTATTACATAACTAAAAGAATTCAAGATACTTCTAGATATTACACGTGTGTATTATAAACATACGGCCTGATTCACTAATTCGTTTTGTACTATGTAATTCTGGTAGGAAAGGCATGCTCACCCAGTCTTAATTTTTTTGTATTGATTATTTCAATTCTTTCATATTCTTGATTTTTTTCAAACTCTATGGATTAATTATTTAAATAACCTTGGATTTCTCTTAATATATTGCTTTCCATGGTAGATTCAAAGTAGGCATATCCAAGTTACACATGTATATCGAAGTCCTTAAATTATCTTGAACTCTCTATTCATGGATCTTGATTACTGCTAATATATATATACTTAGAAGACAACAAAAACAGATATTGAAACTTGAATAATATTCGTAGATACCCACAATAGTTTCTGTGGTTAATATTTTTGTTTTTAATTAAAAAATAGAAAATAATGAAAATAATTCATTCGTGTACAACAATATAATACACGAACACAAATTCAAGTAAAAAAATTACTTTTATTAAATATTTTAATTAAAGTTTTTTTCTCTGTAGCACAGTATTATTTTGTGACATTTCTTTAAATGACATGGAGATCTGTTGTAAGCTTAGTTTGAAGCCTATTTTAAGAGCAAAGATTAGAATAATGTATTAGTTCATAATTACCAAATACACCTTAAGAGTTATTTTTCATATCATTAAATAAATGCTTTTTAATATTAAGAAAGTTTTTATGTTCAATCCAAAATCAAATAATGGATCGATCATCCATAAAAAATGCCCACGCAAAAATCGCATCTTTTTTTATCTCTTCCAGATCCCTGTCCACTTTTGTTCAGTTTCATCGAACTCCTTCCCATTCCTAGATGTTCAGTATAGCGCTTCGGGTCCAAAATTATCTAATCCGTATTGCATAATAGAGTCGAAGATACGAAATACTTTTTTCCAAGTTTTCTATTCGTTGAATAACAATTCTACAAATTTCTTAGACAACTAGAGTCCGTCGAGTCTAAAATTTCCCTATTGAACGAGCTCTCATGTCCAGTATAAACAAAAAAAAACTTTCCTCATATAGTATAATCTTGAATGATTTTTACATTGTATTCATATTCAACTGATTCATTCAGTTTATTTCCTATTCAAAAAATGCTGTTCAAAAGAAACTAAACTTCCACCTCCCTTCATTTATCTGGGCATCGGTCATAGATGGTCTCTCGATCTTTTCTATTTATTGTAAAATATTAATTATAGACTGTATGCATAACAATGAACAGAATAAAAGAGTACATGAACAGTACGTTACAATATCAAACATAAAATACAGAAATAATTAAAATTTCGATCATCCATGAAAATTTCCAAATATAAACTTTCAGATTGTCATACTTTGATGATGATTAAGGATAGTTACTGATTGGTTCATGGTACCACGTTGAGTTATTGACGAATCTCCAAAGAAGATTTGAGCTCGTCTATGCAACCGAGTATGTCTACCACATAAACATCCAATGATTTTAACTATAAATTGATCAAATTCACAACGAAATCCATGTCCAGTAGCAAAAAATCTAAAAAACAAAAAAATATTTTTTCACATACCCCCCAAAAAAAAACATATCTCTAATTACACATAAAAACTTGTACTACTATTAATATAAACAAGCATTCTCATTAATTGTGCAAGAAAATTTTCAAGTGCTAATTGAAAAGCACCTTTAATAACATTTTGTGTAAATGTAGCATAGAGTTTTTGAACAGCAATAGGTGATGTAACTATAATAATAAAAATAAATTGTACAAGTGTCATTTTTAATAATTGTCTATCTCGTTTTTTTAATTGATTAACATTTGTATTATTATTTATTGTTAATGGTTGAATATTTAAACGACTTCGACGAATTTGATAAACAGTTGCTAATCCAACAATAATCATCATTGTCGGTGGTATAAGAGCAAATGTAGTCACATAAAATAAATCATAAAAGATTCGATAAATTCCTGTTTGAGCATAACAATATGGACCAGATTTAAGTTGTTCAATAGTAAATAGAATCAATACATGAGAATAAAGAGTTACGCCAATTAATGTTGTTAAAATAACTAAATAGCATGCATTTTTTAAATTACTTAATTGACGACGTTGAACATTTCGAGAACTAATCCAATAACGATCGATACCAGCTAATATAGTAAACCAAGATGAAAGAACCATTGAACAATGAAGAATAAAATAACGAAATCGACAAAATCCTAAATTTGTTGAAACAGGATCAATACCCAAACCATCAGAAAAAAATCGTGATACTAAACCAAATATGAGAACGATCAAATTGGCTATTGATGAACATAAAAAATAAGTTGAACAAGGATTTTTGATTAGTCGTTGACGTGTAAAAACTAAAATATTAAGAATATTTCCCATACAACCCAAAACTACTATAGGAATTGGTGTAATTCGATTGAATTGAATAGTAAAAGCAGTCAACGAACTTGTACTCATTAGTGATAATATATTAAAATATGAATGTTTCTATACTTTTTTCATCTCAGACATATATGAGTAGATTACCATTAGCGAGTCTTAATTATTTATTAAATCGAAAAAGCTTTCTCTTCGTGCATGTCTTCCTAAAGAAACAAAGTTGTCTTTTACATGTGATTATATATATAATGCCCTTAGTGACATGCTACTCTAATTATCAATTTTTTGCTTGAAACTTAGTTTAAAGTAATTTTGAATGGTTACACAAGCAAACGGGACTGTCACTAACTTCACAAGCTTGATTATATTAATATATAATCCTATATGTAACAATTGTCAAAATCAAAATCTATTCTATTTTTAGTCTATAGAATTTTTTTTTTGTTTCATAACTTATAGAATAAAATTAAAATAATAAATATTAGAAGAAACATATGTTATCGAATGTGACTCATCTGTTTGATTTATGTTTATAATATATTTCAAATAAATCAATTACAGAAAGATGAGAACAAATATTTTCTAAGTTTTTTTCTTCTTGAAACAAATCTTAATGTTCAACTTCGCTTTGTATTCTCTTAGCAATATGCTCGTATCATGTTACTAATGTTAAATATAAATAAAAAAAATATTTATTATATTCTGTAAGTCATGTTAAAAATATTTTCGAGACTTTGTCATGAAACAATTTAAATCAGGCAAGATGATAATTAAAGCATATACTGATGTCACATCTATGATATTAATGTTAGTTTTACAATTAAATCATAAATTATCTTATAAGGAAATTCATTTGGACGCTGTCCAGTTTTGAAAAATAGATTTCAGGCGAGTGCTCATCAGATTCTCATGATCTCATCAAGCTTTTTTTTTCAATTTAAAATACTGCTCAGGTTCTGAGAACGAATAGTTGACTTGAATTGTGACTAGTGAGCATTACAAGACACTCAAGTTACCTCATTGATCATGATCCAATGAAGTTCCGATCTATTAGTGAAATTTATCTTGACTTTTCATTTTTATCCATATTAGTCAGAGGAATAGATACTATATCAGCGATTATTCCTTTGGTGAAAAAATTAATTAGCTCAACTGAGTTAACATTTACTCAAAGATGAACATGTTGATCATCAAGTCAAATCAAGAACATACTTAGGGTGTACGAAAACTTCGAATCACGGCGTTTAAAGGACCTTGTTGGATAAGGCGACCTATTCAGAAATGAGAAACCAAATATACTATTGTGTAGAGCTTTTCGAGGCGCATAGAGTGGTATATAGTAAATTCTGTTTTCATAAGACTTTGAAGGAATTAAAGTCAATTTACTGATAGACGACTACATAGCCACACCCAACCATACCTACACCCACCCACATTCACATTCACAAGATATCCGAAGAAGCTACATATATCAGGTTGTAGCTCGTCAAAAACTCTACAAAATCGTATGTGAGAAAACATATTTTACAAATACTTTTGATTAATACCAAGGACCACAATATTCATTAACTTATCATGCTTGAGGTAAGGACGCAGGTATGTATGGGTGTGGCTATGTAGTCATCTATCAGTAAATTGACTTTGATTTCTTCAAAGTCTTATGAAAACAGAATTTACTATATATCATTCTATGCGCCTCGAAAACCTCTACAAAATGGTATATTTGATTTCTCATTTTTGAATAGGTCGCCTTATCCAACAAGGTCCTTTAAACGCCGTGATTCGAACTTTTGGTACACCCTAAGTATTATTTATTCTTTCATACGAGAAATTCTAGAAAAAGCAATGAAAAAAACTTATACCTTCTCTTTGGATGTAAAATAAATTCTTTTTGTCGTTTATTTCATTTATGCTGGAAAATATGTGATAAAGTTTATTAATATCGTTATATTGTAATTGTTTTTTTGTATCAACAGTCCGTTTATGATATTTGGCATTGCATCTCATAGACAGACAATTTCTTATCCTTGTTAAAAATTCAATAAAAATATTGTCCTCTAAGAACAAACTTTTTGATGCCCTCTCCTATATCCTTCAAAACAAAAAGACTGGATGATAATGTCCTAACGAATTTAGAACAAGACGAAGAAAATATTCTTACGATGTGCTTTGATCGTGACTAAATGCGTCGAATGGATTAAGTCGAAGAAGAATTTATCATAAGAATTGAAGTAAAATAATGATCAAATTATTTAAACACTATTAGAATATAGTTTACTGAAACAATTATAATACTAAAAATAACATGTATGTGTTGGTGTTAGTAGTCAAAAATATACTTCAAGTTTTTATAAGGTATCCATTAGTTAAAACAATTGAGTGATACTTTTTTCAACAATATTTTGACATGATTTGAGATAAAATTTATTGAGATCTACAAGAATATAAATAGGAGAAAGATTTCAAAATTTGTCTTTCTTCCAAATGTTTCTTTTATGCGTACACTCTAGGTAAGTGTCTTTTGAAAAAACCAATTTAATAAAATTTACAAAACTTTTAAATCCTTCTAGGCTTGATATTTATTGGATGCTTTGTTCACATTTTGAAGTCCAATAAAAAGTTAATGTGTCTTTGGAAAGTAACAGTATTGTTCTTGAGAAAATTGATTCGTCTCGTAATGCTGGCAAAATAATGACTCTTAACATGAGGTCCGTTTTGTGATGTTTGATTGTTGAACGATGATTTTTATGAAAAATAACAATCATATTCTCAATTCGCACTAGAAAAATTAAATAGAAAATCTATATCTCATAATGAAATATCTCGTATCAAAATTTTCTCTTTCTTACATGTTTTTTATATTTTATCCAAGAACAATAAAGTTCTTTTCGAAAGATACTTAATCTTATTTTCCTGATCTCAAAATAATAGCAAAGTATCCAAAAAATATTAGATCCAAACGAACCTAAAGGTTTTGCACATTTGATCAATTTGTTCGGTTGAGATTGCATTTGTTTAGATTGTACGTGGTTCTCGTCATATCATATTGAAATATTTTTTAATCCATGTTTTCAGGTGCAGTTTTTCATGATATACCTAAATATCAGCTATT